TATATATATATATATATATATATATATATATATAAGGAGTGGTTAGAGCGTTCGCTTTCTGAGCATGAGAACCGGCACAAACAGTTTTCAAATCTTTGTTGATTCCAAGCGCTTTCAGCCGATCTCTTAGATATTTTAAATGATTCGTTTGGTTTCGTTTGTTGTACGGCATATCAACCGATTGGGTCATTAATCCGGAAATTTTTTCTAAATAAAGTCTTATATTGAAACATAGTAAGACTATCGTTTGTCATGGTTTATATATATATATATATATATATATATATATATATATATATATATATATATATATATATATATAAAGGTGTTCCAATAGTTTGCACCGATATTAAATGTGAATTAAGTTTAGGCGTCTAATGATTTTTTTTTCTTTTTCTTTCAGATTAGGCGGACATTTGGGCGATAATTTTTTTTATACATAATTGCCATGATTTAAATAACATGATCTAATACAGAAATAAATAAATTTTCACCAATAATACTGATTTGATCTGTTTTAATAAAACACCCTTATATATAATCTGTCTTAATGAAACACTCTTTACACACACACACACACACACACACACACGCACACACACACACACACACATATATATATATATATATATATATATATTCCCAAGAGGATAGAATCCAGATAGAATTCAATGTCCAGGACAGAGTAAGAATTTGTAGGTCTGATGAATTGGATTGTGATTACGATTCCAATGTAATAAATTATAAACATGGAATATTAGTGTTTAAGCCTTTTAGATTATATATATATATATATATATATATATATATATATATATATATATATATATATATATATGAAATTAGATTGTTTGTTTGGTGACATATCAATTTCTTATGAGTCATTATTGTCAAAATTTAATTTTCTTAAAGTAATCTTTGGTGTTTTCGTAGACAAAAAATGGTTACTTTTGTTTTTGTTTACAAAAATCTTTTGCTATGTAATATTTTTTCCTTACACAAATCTGTTGCTGGTAATCTTTTTTACTACGAAAATGTACTGCTGGTATTTTCACTGTAATTTTTTTTCTTTCTTAGTGTTTTGACCTGAGTTCTGGGGCCCTAACAGGAGCAACCATCTTGGGTCAGAGTGGACCTGAGAACAACAGCAATTAAGACGTGGTTCCACGGTCCTCAAAAGCTACCGATCAGAAGCCTTGCTGCCGGATGTAGTTTATCGTCATACCCAGGACTTGATTACAGTTCTCTTTTTGGGTGGGAGTCTCTTTTATTCCCGCTCTTTTCTAGATTGGATTTTCTTGTATTTCCATTGTTTTCTGAGTTGGATGCTCTTGTTGTTTTTCCCGCTCTTTCTAGATTGGATTTTCTTATTGAATTCTCGCTCTTTTTTGGGGGTGAATTATCTTGTATTCCCGCTCTTTTTCTGGGTTGGGTTCTCTTGTATTTCTACCCATATTTGGGTTGGATATTCTTATGTTACCACTGTTTTCTGGATTGGATTTTTTTGCTCCATTCCCACTCATTTCTGGGTTGGATTCGCTTATTGTATTTCGCTCTTTTGTGGCTGGATTCTCTTGCTGTATTCCTGCTCTTTTCTAGATTGGATTCTCTTGTATTTTTGCTCAGTTCTAGGGCACATTGTCTTGTTGTATTCCCATTCTTATCTGATTTGGATTCTCTTGTTGTATTCCCACTTTTTTTTTTGATGGTGGTGGGAGGTATCTTTATGTTTTTCCGCTCTTTCAAGACTGTATTCCCTTGTATTTCTACTCTTTTCTGGCTTGAATTCTTTTATTGCATTCCCGCTCTTTTCTAGATTGGATTTTCTTGTTTAGGCTGCTGAACTGAGTTTTTACTAAGTTTAAATAGATTTTCCTATAATATATATATATATATATATATATATATATATATATATATATATAATATAAACCAGTCTGTCCTGCTATTTACCCATAGCTGGAGGGAGAAGAAGAGGATTCACACCTTTCCAAGGGTATTAGCACGTAAGTGAATGTAATGAATTCGACTGAAATTGACCCTCATACGTTGAATTTGACGGAGAGTCGACTATATATATATATATATATATATATATATATATATCATTATATATCTCTCTCTCTATATATATATATATATATATATATATATCATTACTATATATATATATATATATATATATATATATATATATATATATATATATATATATATATATATATATATATATATATATATATATATATATATATATATATATATATATATATATACCATTGCTATCCAAAGCAAAATGTTAAGCCAATATTCACGCGCCAAAAATATTCTTACGTTTAAAAATATGTTATTTCGCTTTTAATTATTCTAAAAGAGGTTGATAAGCCGTAAAAAACAAACCATTTAATGTATATTACCTGCTCGCTCAAGTTTTTTCTTATTCTCTCTCTCTCTTTCCCACGCAGTTATAAATGTTATTAGTTTATCAGCCCCTATTCATGTCTTTATGGCGCACAAATTCTTCTATTTCTCTCTTGCAAACTTTGTCATATACACATCTTTATCTTTCTTGCACTTCCACGCCCTTTCTCTTTATTCTTTTGTTTTCTCTCCTTCTTTCTAGCAATCTCAGTTTTTCCCCTACTCACTTACATACCACCACCACGACCGCTTTACGCTTTGTTCCACCCCATTCTCCCTATGATGCCACCCTCGCCACTATAGCCGCGATCAACCATAGAAAGCATCTCATTCCCGAGAAATAAATTGGATACTTACACACACAATCGGCCTCGCACAGTGTTCACCATAGCAACAATCGATCGATCGGTTTTGGATCGTTCTATGAATGATTGCTGACGCTTTCTGCACATGCGCCAAGAGACCATTGCGCAGACGCGTTCTCTACTTCCACTTCGTATCTAATTGACTGCAAGATCGGCGTTTCACTTGTTGTTCAAATTATTTGTTTGATTTGGTCAATCAATTCATATTTATTTTCTAAATTAATTTGCCAAAATGTTATTTCTGGTCTCGTAGACCTGCTTACAAAAGAGCTCCCCCAGCTAGTCCCTAATTTGCATGAATAAAGTTTTGTGGGTGGCGGGAATATCAAAGCGTTTCTTATACATAATTTACTCTGCCCGCGTGAAACGTCTACTTTCTCGGGATCAAATATTCGTTTGGTTATAGCACATTAGAGGCTGAATGTTTACAGATGTCATAACGATTCCTTCAATATATGTGAAAATAATAGAAGTAGCCGAAAAGAAACCTTCGAGCAGAACTGTAATCAAGCCCTGGGTATGACGATAAACTACATACGGCAGCAAAACCTCTTATCGAGAGATTGGAAGTTTTGAGAGACGTAGAACCACCTCTTAATTGCTGTTGTTCTCAGGTCCACCCTGACTAAGGGGTGGGAACACCTGTTAGGGTCTCAGCTATAGGCCAAATAAAAGTCAACATTACATTTTTATAATAAAATGACCAACAGTGAATCTTTTAAGCAAAATGACAATCAATGCAACTCGGTTTTCTGATTAACAATTCCGAGCCATTATCTATTACACATCAAAGCTAACACCAGCTGGTATTTCCAAGTAGTCATTCATCTACGTACTGACCAGTCTCAACATTGCTTAAATTCAGTTATGTTAAGATGAAAGAGAATCTCTGAGAGAAAAGTTTCTTGATTGATACTTGACGAACCATGTCCGTCATGTCCGTATACTTAAAGCTTCATTTTCAAAGACAGGACATACATTTCTTGCTACTTCTGTTGCTAAGTCCTGGGTATGACGATAAACTGCATCCGGCAGCAAGGTATCTGATCGGGAACCAACTGTTAATTGCTGTTGTTCCCAGGGCTACCCTAACCTGGGGTTGTAGCACCTGTTAGGCAAATACTGAACCCTCAAACAAAAGCAAAACACTATAAAAGTATAAAAAATTTTATATAAAAAAATTACCAACAATATAATTTATAAGACAATACCAAAAATACATATTTATATGAAAAATATTACAAACAATCCATATTTTTAATAAAATTGCCAACAATATATTTTAAAGCAAAATGACTAACAATATATTTTAACTGTAGTTGAAGGCAGCTGATTGCGTTCAAAATATTTAAATTTCAGAATTAAATAACCCACGGAGGTTGATATGCCGCTAAACAAAATCACCCAACCAACCAAATAATCAAGAAACTGTAATCGATACACATAAAAAGTTAGAAAGAGGCGCAAGCAAGGATGTGTCTTCTCATTTAAGTTTTGCAGCATTCCTAAGAGAACTAGAAGTTCTATCAGAATTTACTATTGGTTGGCAAAATCTTAACATAAGAAGCACCGATAACACCGGGTTGATGGTAGATAGAGAAAGAAAACATCAGGTATTTCTAGACAAGGTTGTAAAGGAAAGCAGGACAAAAGGACTAATCATCAGTTGAATGACGACAGAATACATGGGTGTAAGCAAGAGGACCAACTCAAGATTTGAGCTACAAATTGGCGATGTCAATTATGAAATGTTTTAACAGACGATCGAAAATGTTACAACGAAAACTGAAGGTGCGTAGTAAGAGCAAAGATGACTTCCAAAAGCTAAACAAACTATTAAGAAATAGGAAAATTTCAAAAGAAAGAGTGCTGAATTACTATATGACACCAATTCTTCTATATGACAGCAAATATTGAATAATATCCTCACAAATGAAGAGGACACTTGAGGCAACAGATTGATTCATTTTTACGGCTTATCAACCCTTTACAATGTAAGCCAGAAAAACTTTTTAGATTGTAAGAACTTTCTTTTTGGAGATAATAATAGTTTAGTGATTAGTCTTACTAATTAACACATGGGGGAGGTGGATTCCTATATTTCCCAAGGGTATTTGCAAGAAAGTGTATATAACGACCCCAACGGGAATTGGAACTCGGCTCTCCTATTAACAATCCCGAGCGTTTATCCATTACGCGACCCACACATCTAAGCTTACAGCACCTTGTTTTCCCAAGCGGTCACCCATTTAGGTACTGACCTGGACTGACGTTGCTTAACTTCGGTGATCGTACGCGGACCGGTTTTTCAATATGATATGTCTGTAAGCCTTGAGGTAACAGAGATGTTGTTCTACAGAAGGATGATGAGAATACTATAGACAGAATCTGTGAGCAACAATGAAATTGAATTAAAAAAGACGCTTATAATCAGAATGAGACAACCGAAATTTCTAGAATAAATAATGAAGAAAAACGATTGGAAAATTTAATACGCACAAGATATACTGAATGAAAGGGGCTTAGAGGAAATAATCGAACAGTTTATCTAGTGCTCTTGTCGATGTCAGAATCGCGTGTAGGTGGGACAGTAAAAAGACATTGATAAGAAGAAGAGGGAATTTTGGAATGCCATGTTCGGTCACGTCCATGAAGAGTCGCGGCAGGTAGAAGAAGGAGAATGTAAGTGGCAACACACTGCAAGCAACGACGTGTCAATGTCTAGCGGTAAACTAACAAAAACTACGGATTTAAACCTTGATGATATCAACAACAAGATTAAGGAACTAGACCAAGATGGTACATACAAATACTTAGGAATTAATGAAGGTGACAGAATACAGCATTCAATTATGAATAAAAAGATCTGAAAAGAATATTATAGGAGAGCGCGTCTGGAAAGTGAACTTAATGGGGCCAATAAAATGAAGTTTATCAACACCTTAGCTCTACCTGCAGTAATATACATCTTCAACATTATTAAATGGAAGTTGAATGACATTAAAAGACTGGATCCAAATGAAATCAGATGCTGATAGGATAGGCAGTACGTACCAAGAGATTTAGGAGGCCGAGGGTGATCCAACTCTAAAAAATATAACAATCGAATTGGAAGCCAACCTCACAAAAACCAATGGCCCTCTCCTACGAAATCCACTCCATCAACAAATAAGCTGCACTCTTCAAGAAACAGCTTAATATACCTGAAATCCTCCCAACAAAAAACGGAGCGAATAACATCTACGCCAAACGAATAAAACAGAAAGCAAAACAACTTGGCCGAATGAAATTACAAAAAAAAAAAAAAAAAAAAAAAAAACTGGGAGGACACGGTATTGCATGGAAAATACATAAAAAGAACGAAAGAAGCAGATGTGAACCAAAAAAAAACACATGAGTGGCTGAGGAGCACCGGGCTAAAAACTGAGACAGAAGGCCTAATTATTGCAGCTCAGGACCAAAGCCTCGCAACCAGATCCTATTATTGTCACATAATCAATGTAATAATGTAATAATGTAACAAAGCCGAAATGCAGGATCTGTGGAAAATATGATAAAACTGTCGACTATATTATCTCAGGATGTCCGGAACTGGCAAAAAATGAATATACCCACATACATAACAAGGTAGCGTCATATGTGCACTGGACGATATGCCAGAAGCACAAAATCGAAACCACTGAGAGATGGTATGAGCACCAACAAGACACAGTTAACCAAAATAACGATGTAGCTATCCTCTGGGACATGCCAATTAAACTAACAGAGAAATAAAAGTCAGCGGACCTGATATTATCATAAAAGACAAGAAATCCAGGAAGTGCATGATTATTGACATAGCAGTACCATTTAAGAGAAATAGCTCCATAAAAATTATCGAGAAATTGTCGAAATATAAGGACCTGGAGATATAGATTAACAGAATGTGGAGAATGATGACTGAGACTGTAGTAACAGTAATCGGTGCTCTGGTTCTCCTGAGAAAAGGAATAGACAATTTTACTAACAGTGTGCCAGATAACATCAATAAAGTTGCCCAGAAGATCGCCTTACTAGGAACATCATATATACTAAGAAAAGGGCTGTCAATTAAATGACAATTCCCCTATAGGGCCTAAGGACCATAGTTTGGACCCGGTTCTACAGGATACAAAGCAGCAAACATATCATACACAAATAATAATAATAATAATAATAATAATAATAATAATAATAATAATAATAATAATGCTCTATCTTTTGATTAGAACGTTGTAATTACAAAGAATGCTTGGTTCAATCTTTTGTGTGGAATGGTTGGAGAAAAAACCAGTGTTTGTCTTTATTTTCTCCTCTCTCACACACACACACACACACACACACACACTCACACAGGTGCACAGATTGCACAGACACACACACATACACACACACACACACACACACACACACACACATACACACACACACAAAAATCCTTAAACACATTTTCATATATATATATATATATATATATATATATATATAAATATTTCTCCAAAATTTCTCCAAATATTTTCTGCCTTTAATTCTATTTTTTTGCAAGATAAAAAGAGAACAATTATATCAATGGTCAAATATCAATATATGAAAATGTTGTAATATATATTCCACAGCCAGTATTTAGCCTCAAGCATTTTTATTTTTCCACAAAGGGCAAGAAAATGAATTAATCAAAGTTGTCAAGTACATTTTTTTTATTGAAATTTAATATATACATACATACATATATATATATATATATATATATATATATATATATATATATATATATAATAATCTTCACTCACTTAAGTCAGTTAGAAAGTTTACCCACAAGTTGACCCATAATAGCAGTAGCGCAAGAACGTTTATCTTAAAAAGAGGCAGGGTGTCCCAGAAAACACCTCGGAGATTTAAAATTTTCCTAATTTCAACATTTTTAATATCAAAATTACTTTTCTACAGAATGAAAATTCAACAGCTGTATAATGTTTTATTATTTAATAATGAAAGATTTCTACGACCGAGGATATCCAAGACATAATCAACTGTCAAATTTGCGAATCGATGTTGGGCTTATTTTCTTTTTTTTTTTTTAAAGTTTCTCTTATGTTTAACGTGAATCATACCGCGGTCTTCCACATCGTGTCAAATCATTTTCTGAGCCATATTACCCAAAAAGTTGAATTAATCGACGAATTATGAAATCTGATGGTGGTTTTTTGACAAGAAAAGTGTCAGCCGTATATTTGTTGCGAAGTAATTTGTTTGAATATCTTTTTGATCAGAAGGATGTTTTTAGTTTTGGCTGCTTAAGCAAAATTAACATCTCCACAAACATTTAGATTATTTGTATGGCACAAGGCTGTCAAAAGCAAAATATACAACAAAAATATGTTTTTCAGAAATAACAAAACATTTTTATATCAACATATATACAAAGCTGAAAAATGAATTTACTCATGTAATTTGAAGTGAGTTGCAAATTGTTAAATTGATGTTTATCACACCAAAAATAGTTTTATGGCAGGAAAAAGTGTTCGTTCAATTGTGCACAAATGTTATGTCAATATGTAGTATTTATAATTAATAATATAGCAAGAGTTATTTACTTTAAGTGTTATTTGAATTAGTTAAGCCTTTACAGATAGAGTTCTTTTATCTGAACTCACAGAAAAAATATTTCAGTTCATGAAATAATAGTAAGTTTCAATGGAAAGAATGTTCTTCGATAAGGTGTTGTAGGCTGAAATTCAGTGTAAGATGTGTTCAAAGAAGCTTGTTGATTGAAAGAAAATGTAATCTTCACTTGAATATCCAAAAGTTGTATTTGGTACTAAAAATGTAGTTTTTAGTTTAACACTACGAGTTGAAAATCAGCATAAATATACTGAAGTATCTTGCCGTTGATAAGAAACTTTTAGCTCCAGAAGATTAACGTAAAATTTCTCACTGGTAAAAATTGATAAGAGTCGAAAGTTGTATTCTCTCGGACGTTATGTTTGTTGCTGGAGAAAATCTCACTGTTAGAAGTTGATAAGTTTTTGTGTCCTTGTAGTTGAAGGAGTGAATGTTTATAGATATGCAATGTTTGTAGATGTACGTTATTCGTACGTACGTGTGTGTTGCGTGTCATGAAGTTTCATAGCGATTTGCCCTAAAGGGACAACCGCTATTTCTCGACAGCTACATCTTGTATGTCAGAGAAGGCAAAAGAGGAAGAGTTGAAAATGCGTCCAAATATTTTATAAGTAATTTGAATCACGTGAGAGGCTCGCGAACATATAACCAGATTTTGCCGGTTTAACCGTGCGGACGTAGACGAAAGCATGATATTGGCATTAATTGACCAATCAGGAGTCAGAGAAAAATCAAGACTCTGTCATCCACTTTGGTGTTTAGTTTGTACAAAAATTGACGTCGAAAGTAAGTGGAAGCAGAATGCTAAATTTCTCTTTGGGTGAAAATACAGGATTAGATAGTTACGGTTCATTAAATACGATTGGCTGAATACTTACCACGATTTTGTTTATTTCTTATTGGTTACTTTATTTTTATTACCTTTACTTGTGTTTATGTGTGCATTCGTAGTTTGTTTATTATTTACTTAATAATAAACAAATTAAATTGTAGTAGGATTAGGTAGTAATAACACCATACGAAAATATACACTTTCCTCTTTACTAAGTGAGTGACAAAGAAAACTATCTCTTCCTCTCTTCTATATATTTCCTTCCTTTTCCTTCCTTCTGTTGTTCCTATCCTCGGTAACGGACATAAACCCAAACTTAGTTTATGTGGATCAGTAGACGTCATCAAAAAACTCAACAAATGACAACACGTCCCACCATAAATCAAACGGGAAAAACGGAGGTTCAGCCCCAATAATAATAAGAAACCCACGTACGAGACTGGAGACTCTGCAGTGGAGAGGAACTTGATTCGGTGTTGCAGTTCGAGACGCAAGGGTTGGGGATTCATCGGCTGTGAGTTTGACATGACATCTCCAGAAGAGAAAGAAGAAGAATGGATGAATGCAACGAATTAATTTCTGTCAACCATTAAATAAGAAATAATAAAGTAATTAGTAATAACTAAGGATTAAAATTTAACGGAGAACAAGATAAAATAGCAACAAATAACCGCATTCTGCGACACAATTATTTCTCCTCAATAGCGTCTAGAATAATTTGAAACATTACCGATAATATATCTTGCTACCCATAATGCACAATTGACCAGCAGATACAAATACTCAACCTAAAACATAGCACACATCGTCTGAAGATTACAGGTAACCATGAAACAGACTGACGCTGCT